TTTTGGCGCCAAAGTATCCGCTTACCTGAACCTGCACCACCACCATATTTCACAACAAACGCATAAGAATTCTCAACCTGAGATGTCATTTGCTCTCGTTGTAGAGCCAGATCCCGAAACTGCCTGTAATTATACTTACCAGACTTGGACTCTGCCACGAGTTGTCCACGGATGGGCTCGGGCAGAGCACGGGAATAGATGTACAAGACTTGGTTGTCTTGCATGTTCAATCCCGGAACCTGCAGCAACCGATCAACTTCCCGAGACAGCGATTCCACAAAGGTCCAATGTTTCTGACCAATTGTGGTGAGCTGGTCAAAAGCCTTGTCGGCCGTCATTTTGTCCAGAAACCGTTCCTTGATCTTACCAAGGAACTGCTTGAGGTTCAAGGTTCCAACCCACTCCCCAATGTCATTGAACCCTGCCGCATTAGCTTCGGCCAACACCCATTCCTTAGCTTCCCCCCCGAGACAAGAAGTTGAGAAAGCAACCTGGGAATCGGGTTCGATAGGGGCCGTGCCATAGTACGTTTGAATCTGTGCGATCCACAAAAGCAGATTTTCATCTTTCTTATTACAAAATGTGAAAGGCAATTTCATTTTGACCTTCTCCTTTCTTTTAGGTTTCTCAGGTTGTGTGGTGTTTTCCTTTGTTCCGTTTGGAGACTTCGGCGGACTGGAAGGTTCTCCTTTCTTCTCTTCCGGTTTCTGAGTCTCTACAATAAGAGACTTCATGGCATCTCCCATTAGTTTCTCTGTTTTTTCAGTTTTTTCTTCCTTGACCTTTTCCTTTCCTTTGACCAGATTCGTGATTATCCGGAGTCCTGCGGCCACATCAACGATCTGTGACTGCATCCGTTCACCATATTGATCGATTTTCATTTCCAGGTGGGCAAGGTAAGTGACAAGCTGAGCCAGAGAATTGCTTGTTCTTCCCCTTCGGTCTTAACAATAGTTTGTCAAATTCTTGAATTTTCTGTTATTGTTGTTCACTCTTTCTCTTTCTCAATTCTTCTTTCCTCTTCTTCTCTCTTACGGGTGCTTCTTCAAGTAGTCTGATATTCTCATCCACGGTTTCTTCAGACACAACCCTTTCTCCTTCTTCTTTCCGTGCAGCAAGCTCGGAGAACTGATCCATGATATACTTATCAAGTGTCGACACTTGATTAGTATATCCTGAACATGAATGACGACGGTGCCTGTTACAGCCGATTCAATAGCATTATGCAATGCTTTTAAATCGAACAGGCTGCGAACGTGAACCTCAGCATCTTCACCGGCATCATGTAGTTCAGAAATCAATTTGTCCAAACGGGCAATCAAGACTTTTTTCCGCTCTTTCACTTGCTGCTTCGTTCGGGGGTCAGGAGTCTCCTCGTCAATAGCAAACATGAGTGAGACTGGGTAGAAGAGAAGAGGGATAAAACGTGTGAGCATCGACAATTTCAGAGAATTCCAGAGAAAATACATTGTGATGTGCGTCTGCGGCACAATAAATACTTAATTAACGGTTATAAATTCCACGGCCGCACTGATTCTACCACAGCAAGATTTCAAAGAACCGAAGAAAAAAAAGAATCAGATACAATTATTTCTATTTCTAACTATTGCTGTTCTTTGTCTGTCCGTGTGACGACGTCCTAAACAAGAGTGTACAGGTATCGCGTCAGGCCCGTGTGATCAGACACAACACACAAGTAAGTACGCAAACACCACACACATCAACAACAGGTAAGCATGCCAACAATAATCACAAAACAGTTTGTTAGCACTCTTCGTCAGTTTGCTGTGTCTTTTTGATGTCAGTGCGATCACGCACTCCCCTTGACAGCTGGCACTACAACTGTGAAATCTGTCCAGTCAGCTGTACCGCTGTCGTCTTTGGAGTGCACCTCTTACTTGGCAGTATCCTGCCTGCCACGTGTCATCCCTGGAGTGCCAACATAGCAAATGTTGCCATGTCAGCACTCTGTCCAGTCTGTCAATAATGGGATGCCACGTCAGCAAATGTGTAGTCCGATCCTCGCCACATGCCTCTTCCAAGCGTCACATGAGATACCGTCGCCGTTCGAGCCAGTCAGATTATGCCGCGTCAGAAAAAGGGTCTGTTGCCACGTCAGAAGGGAGTCACCACCTCACAAGACAGGTGTGATGACTCTTTCCAGCCATGTCAGCAGTCAGTCTTGTTCTCCAAAGCCACGTCAGCATCTGTAGGAGACCCTGTCGCGTGTCAGCAGCACAAGAACTGCCACATCAGCAATCAACAGGGTCTTTAGACGCACCACTATATGTGCCACGTCAGGATAGGATCGCGATCTCACGTCACTATTGCGATCCTGGCTGGCGTGCGGTATCCCTTGTCACGATCCCTACTGCCACGTCAGCAGCCTGATAGGGGTGTCTTCTCGCCAGCAGAGTCTGTACCCTGTCAGCTGCTCCGGTCAGGTCTTCTCGCCAGTGAATCTGTACTTCGTCAGCAAACCCCTGCAATGTCTTCTTGCCAGCGAGGTATGTACCACGTCAACACCCCCAATGTATCCCTTGCCATGTCATCACCTACTCAACCTTACTTACCTGCTCGCCACCGGGCGCGTACTCAATGCACAAATGTCGTCGTTAGGAGAACTGCTCCGATACCAAATTGCAATGAACCCAGATCGTGAAGACAGTTGTCAACAATGCAAGCCCAGATAAATGTCCATCGGTTGATGATTACTAATAGTCAAAATCGTAACCAGACGGAATGAGATGAGGTAATCATACACAGACGAAGAGAGAGGAGGGAGAAGAGACAAAGGAGAGGAAGTACAATGCCCACTCCCGCTTCGGGCTCCCTCCTCTACTACCACCTCAATAATCAATAGTCTGAACGAGTATCCAAAGTATCCTCAATGTGCCACATGGCACGTCTAGTCATTCCCACATCAGCACTGGAGCAATGTCGACATGAAGACCACCAGGTACGTATTCTCGAACTCTCCACAGTCCTGATCTCCTCCTGGAGTGACGACGAAACAGAACAGCAATGCCGATTACGTAGTCCCAGTCATAACACACATGGCAGCAGCCACATCAGCCAACGATACACGTGGCAGCAGCCACATGAGCGACAGCACAGGGCAGCCACAGGGCAGCTGCCACGTCAGCATGCCAAGAAGACAGGAGCAAGCAGGCCACCATGCCAGGCTAGCTGCGCCTCGCCAAGTCACAATGCCAGCGGCGCAGTGTCGAGCCGGCGTTGAAGTCAACGCGTGAAGTCAGCATCAACGCAAGACAGAATTAATGTCAATTCCAGGGAGTCAGCTCTTATGTAGTGTTGATGCGGGGTCTGGACCCCGGATGCTGTATCATCCCTCAGCGTCCAGATCTCAATGCAAATGAGGGCCCAGATTGGCCTGAAACCAAATTCCCTCCACCCTGGATGCTGTCTGGATACCTGCGCACAACAAGTGAGTGTATCCAACCAAGGGCCTGTGTGCAGTACCTTTGACTCTACAGTGGAGCTTGACTCTTGAATTTCCTGTGTGCAGTGTTCGGTCACACAGTCGCACTCGACAGACTCAGGCCTGGGCTTGCCTTGGTCACACAGCCCAGCGCATACCAACTCAGGTCTGCGTTTCCTGGGGCTGAGTTCTGAGCCCCAGGCCACTTCTGAACAGGGTTATTACATCTCTCTCTCTCTCTCTCTCTCTCTCTCTCTCTCTCTCTCTCTCGCCGTGGTCTTCTCTGCAGGTGCGTGCGGCGGCTTCTTCAATGACGACTTCGGCTATGGCGGACTTCCTCTCCGATGACGACTTCGGCTATGGCGCGTGACTCTCCCTGCGACAAACGACGAACGCGCATAGGATAGCGGGTACCTGCTCCGATACCAATGCAATCAGACTCGCTATCTTTCACTCTTTGTATGCATGTAAACAGGTTGGGCAGCAAACTGGCGACAAGCGCCCACTCAGAACTCAGAGATATAGTAACCAAGAACGCAGTTCAGATACTCGTTCACTTCAAATGGATATAGCGGCACAGGGCCTGTACAACTCTCTGTTCACACACACACAGGACCACCCTGGATATCCCACATGCATCACACGGTACAGACATGCACACACATACACGCTACACTCTCCTCTCAGCTATGGCGGCTATGCCCGCCGCTACCCTATCGCTATGGCTAAGCTCCTTCTCTTGCCCACTTCGTCTTCGGGCTCACTGCAGACCACCTCGCACAAGTTGCTGTGGCAGCGCATCCGCATGGCTTACGCAGGAATGAATGAATAGCTGGGCGCTTCTTCTTGATTTACACTTCTGTATCTCGTTGGTCTGCCCCTTTTCCCATGCCCGTGGTGCACACAGTCCCATGCGGTACTTGCTTGACTGGACTAGGACTGACTGGGACTGGGACTGCTGACTCAGCACGGATAGACTCCACCACTTGCCCACTTGCCTCAGCCTAAACGTGAGCAGCTTCGAAACGCCTCTACTAGGACCTTCCGGAAGGCCGTGGACTTGGCCTTTCGATACTGTAGCAGCTGCGACCTTGACCCTTGAGGACTGTAGCAGCTACGACCTTGACCCTTCAGGACTGTAGCAGCTACGACCTTGACCTTTCGGAGGGGCTACAGCTACGACTTCTAGACCTTGCTAAGACTCCTACCCGACAGGTCTACAGATCGAACCCCTACTACCTACAGGCCCTACGACAGTCTACCAACTGTTACAAATACACATGTCGCGGGTTCAACTCTCGGGGTCAACACAGATACTGTACACAGGTAAGGACAAGACTAGGGATCGAGCCCTGGGATCTGCATCAGCTACTGCGAACAGGTGAATACCGTTTCACCTGGATGCACCTGACAGCAATCACATCCAGAACAACTTAGTAGAAAAAGTCCTAGTGGGAGTACACCCCTACTTACTGTACCCTCTGCGAGTACGCACTTACAGTACCCTCTGCCAATGTCTGTGCTGTGTCCGTGTTGTGGTTGCGATTGCCTTTTCCAGGGTGACATCGAATCAAGGGTTGTGAGAATTCGTGTCAGTCTTTCAAGGGGAACTAAGGATGGGTAAAGGTGGGGGCCGTGGGAAGTTCAAGAAGGGTCCGACGGGACGGAGGAGATTTTCTACCCCGGATGTAATAGGGGGGTCGGCTTCCAGTGAGGGACAGGAGAGGAGGCGTCGACTTGGTGAAGATGACCCCAAGGGGTATGAGGAGGAGGAGGATTCTGAGGAAACGGAGTCTGATGATGAAGAAGAAGAAGACGAGGGAAAAAAACAGAAGGGAGTCGGTGGGCTCATAGAGGTGGCGAACCCGAACAGGGCTGCGGCCAGGAGCGTGAAGGCGAAGGATGCAGACATTGAGAAACCGGTGGAGATGTCAAGAAGGGAGAGAGAGGAGTTGGACAAGCAGAAGGCAAAGGAAAGGTACTGGAAGCTGCACGAGCAGGGGAAGACGGAAGAGGCACGAAAAGATCTGGAGAGGTTGGCAATCATTCGCCAGCAAAGAGAAGAGGCTGCTAGGAAGAGAGAGGAAGAGAAAGCTGCCCGCGAAGCAAAGAAACAAGAAACACGCAAGAAGTGATGCTGGAGTGGGTCCAATTTCGCTTTTGTGTTTTGACATGTCGGTTCTGAAACATGTCGGGATGGGTATGTGAGGGTGAGGGTGTGTGTGTGTGTGTGTGTGAGAGAGAGAGAGAGAGAGAGAGAGAGAGAGAGAGAGAGAGAGAGAGAGAGGATTGTTACTGTGCTCTTCTCTTCATGTAAGTCGTTTCTAAGGACATTCAAGCAATGTATAGGGAAGTGAACATACTCTGGTCATGTATTCAACAAAGAACAAAGGAGAGAAATGAATAAACAAGGTGGTGCGCTATCTGTACCTACTTTCATCTTCTTCTCACGCTCTCTCTGCATTTGTTTTTCTTGTCCTGTTTTCCATATGCCCTCCTGCTTGCTAGTTGTGTGATGAAGATGTAAACAAAGAAGAAATGGAGGAGGAGAAGCTCGTAAAACAACAAAGCGAAGATGGTACTGCAACTTTCTTGGGATGCTGGCCAGGTCTTGCCTAAAACAGAGGAATGAGGGATGGTGGCCAGGTCTTGGCTAAAGAAGGGCATAAAATTGGCAAATAGATTAATTTCGAACAGGGGGGAGGGGGGTATATGTTCGATAGGGAAGGATGTGGGGGGGTGCGGTGTTGTAGAGGCAATCTAGCATTTCTTTCTAGGTATGTGGAAAAGACTACTGGTGCAAGCTGCCGTGTAAGTCCTGCTCGAGTAGTTGGTATTCTTATACTTGTGGAGCAAAATAGCAGGTATAATTGATCCTCTTCTGTGAATCAGTGTGGTGCTGTAGATGCAATTCATCATCTTTCTACGTGCGTGGAAAAGTTTTCTGCTGCAAGCTGCCACATAAGCCCTGCTTGCTGCGACATTCGATCTACATTGCATTAGAGGAGTTGGTATACTTGTTGAGCAAAATAGGAGCTATAATTGATAGTCTTCTGTGAATCAGTGTGGTCTATAATTGATAGTCTTCTCTGAATCAGTGTGGTGTTGTAGAGGCAATTCCTGATCTTTCTAGGTGTGTGGAAAGTGTTTTCTGCTGCAAGCTGCCGCGCACGTCCTGCTTGATGCGGCATTCGGTCTACGGCTCACAAGGAGTTGGAATTATTGTTGAGCAACATATCCTGTATTGATCTTCTTCTGTGGATGGGTATGTTGAAAAGACTGCTGCTGCAAGCTGCCCCAAACTGCTGCGCAAGTCCTGCTGCCTGCTGGGACATTCATTCAGTGCATGTTTCACTAGAGGAGTTGGCGTCATTTTTGAGCAAAGTATGAGCTATAATTCTTCTTCGTTTCTCACAAGCGGCTCTCGCACGTGATAGTTTCCCATCATACGGCTCTGCGCCACGAATCATCGTTCGATAATGTTCTCAATAAACTAGTAGGTTTATATAGGACCACGCCCGTCTCAGCACATTGAAACTGTGGACCAAATTGATCTCTCACTTTCCACTGGCTAATTGTGAACATTATATTTGTGGGTGTGGCTCTGCATGTTTTGCTAATCGGCTGATGATTTGCTGTACCTTCCTCCCGCATCTTTATTATTACATTCGAGTCTTCAAGTTGTGCACCAAGAATAGAAGTCGGACGCATGGGATATGAATGCTTTGACTGACCGTCTGCCATACTCTTATCATTTTTTTATTTTTCACTCTGTCCTCAAGGCTGTAATATGTTGATCTCAAAGATTCCCAGTACTAAAAGCAGCACCAAAGAATGTTGATGTGTCCGCTTGTTTGTTTTTTTGGGGTGCAGGGGCCATGCTAATCTTCTCTGTACTGTTTCAATTCTAACAGATGTTCGGAAGGACTCTATGTGGATTGTTGTTTGGACAAACTCTGGACTTGCTCACAACATGCACACTTGAGAACCGATGGCAAACTGAACTCTTTCAACTCAAAAACAACGATGAACTTGTCTTAAACTCAATCTGAACAACTGCACAACTTGCGGCTATGGCCGCCGAACACTGTCTCTACCACCAGCCTCACTCTCTCCCTCACTGTCTCATGCGTGCACGTACGAGGACCACCTTGAATGTCCCCACTCAGCACAGCCTCACACACTCTGAACACTTGTCTTCACCAACAGCTGGGCGGCTATGGCCACTGTCGTCTTCCTCCTGCTATCTATGGCCGCCATCGTCTACCCCACTGGCCAGCTATGGCCGCTGTCTTCTTCACTGCCCACTTCGTCTCCTGGCACCTGCAGTCCTCCACGCACAAGATACCAAGGCAGCTCTTCCGCATGGGACACAGGTGAATGAATGAATGGCTGGACGCTGCCTGTTTATTTATACTTCTTCGGAGGTACCCGGACCCTGCCTCCAGACCTGTGGGCCTGGTCCAAAACGTGTGGCCCAGGGAAGCTTCCAGACGTTTGGCCTTCTGGGCCAAAACGTGTGGAACTCTCTGCGTGCTCTAGAACCTTCCCCGAGTGCAGCCCTTACCCAGGTACATGCTGGCTGGACCACCGTACAGAACCCTACAGACTTCTAGAACCTACAGACTCTACAGATTTTCGACAGACTCAGTAGAGACTTCTAGAACAGACTCTCTAGGCCTATTGGTAACAGACCTAGCTGCTAATCTACAAACCTAGGGATGAAGTCCTACTGGCCAAACTACAGACTAACCTAAGCCGTAGGACAGGTTTGGGGATCGAACCCTACTCAGGTCACGGGGTCTATGTACAGGTACAGGGTAGGTCTAGGGATCGAATCTCACTTAGCACATATGTATAGGGTTAGGGCACAGGTCTAGGGTCAATGTAGAGGGTTAGGGCACACGGGATCTATGTACAGGGTTAGGGCAGGTCCTTTACCTTTTCTTTCCCTCTTGTATGTACAGGGTTAGGTCTAGGGTCAATGTACCTGTCTCTTATACACATCTAGATGTGTATAAGAGACAGTGTACAGGGTTAGGGCAGGTCCTTTACCTTTTCTTTCCCTCTTGTATGTACAGGGTTAGGTCTAGGGTCAATGTACAGGGTTAGGGCACACAGGATCAATGTACAGGGGTAGGGCACACGGGATCTATGTACAGGGTTAGGGCACACGGGATCTTTACCTTTACTATGTCGGGAGCGGTTTCTAAAAGCTCTGTTCTTGTAAACCACCGGTCGTCCTCGGGTTCGTGGTATGCGAAGCTAACTTTGTCCTGTTTCTGGGAACGACCTTGGCCTCATGTCCTAAACACGTCCTCTTCCACAATGCGCTTTATATCATACGCACCATCCATGTTTGGAGGAATCATCGACCTTCTGGAAGGGAACCTGTCAGACGTGGTGCAAGGTAACAACTTAGAGGCGTGGAAGACTGGGTACGTGTGGAGGTGTGTTGGGATCTCTATCGTGTACGACGGGCCGTCCTCTCCTCCTTTTGACTTCTAGGACAGGCCACGGTCCTCTATATGCAGGTGAGAGCTTCTGCGAGATGTTTTCCTTCGGTGCGAACTCCTTTGACTTGACCCAGACTAGGTCACCTACCTGAAACTGTGAATGTCGGCGGTGCTTGTTAGCCTGCTCTATCATGCGGTGCTGGGCCTTTCTCAGGTTGTCTGTGACCTTAGCAATCTCTTGCTCATGATGGAGCGCAAACTCTCGAGTACTGGGTGGAAGTCTCTGGATCTGGTCCCAAATTAGTCCTTCTAGTGGTCGCCTAGGTTTAAAAGATTTATGTAGCTCATTAGGAGTCCGACAAGTAGCTAAGTGAACGTTGTTGTTGTAGACGCTTGCTACTTTGGGAAGCAACTCGTCCCAGTCTAGCTGATCTGGTCTAATGTACATTTTGGGTAGCTGTTGCAAGGCCTTGTTCATCTGTTCTGTCTGACCGTTAGTCTCGGGGTGTCGTCCTGACGACATCTACAACTTAGACCCGTATACTTTCATAAGATCTTGCCAGTTCTGGCTGGTAAACCCGGTGTCCCTATCACTTACTATGGACAATGGCATACCATGCTCGTTGACCCAGAAATCAAAGAACTTCCTTATAACTAACTCTGTACGGGCCTCTGAAGGCAAGGGAACAAATACTGCATACTTACTAAATTTGTCTACTATGACGATGACTTTAGATTTTCCATGTCTGCTTTTGTGCATAGGCATCTCTTACTTTTTAGCAGCTCACTGTAGATTGGGTCCTATGCATAGGCATCTCTTACTTTCTGCTGCAGATCGGCCCCTATATTTAGATAGTGTACTATCGCGTCGAAATAATCAGATCTCCTGCTTGGAACGAAGACTCAATCTGCTTCTGCCGGGTCGATTCGAGCTTGGGTCTAGGTAGTGTACTACGACCAGTCTGTTTCTGTGCATAGAGCTTGGGTCTAGATAGTGTACTACAACCAGTCTGCTTCAGCCGGGTCGATTCGAGCTTGGGCCCCTATGGCTAGATAGTGTACTACGACCAGTCTGCTTCTGTGCATAGGCATCTCTTACTTTTTAGCAGCTCACTGTAGATTGGGTCCTATGCATAGGCATCTCTTACTTTCTGCTGCAGATCGTTCCCTATGTCTAGATAGTGTACTATCGCACCGAAATAATCAAATCTCCTGCTTAGCACATCAGCTACCACGTTGTACTTGCCTTTAACGGGTTTTAATTCAAAGTCATACTGGTCTATCTCAGCAGCCCATCGTGAACTTGGGCGTTATCTTGGCCTGTGTCTTAGCCATCTTTGAGTCTTGTGGTCTGAATAAACCTTGAAGTGCCTCCCAAGCAGACGGTGTTTCCAGTGCTCTAGAGCCTGCCTGAGAGCGTAGAGTTCCCTCTCGTATGTCGATGCTGCGACTTTCTCTGAAGGCAACCTGGCTGACATGAACTTTGCGTGCCTATATCCGTTGCCGTCATCTTGCTGTAGAACGGCACCTATACCATACTGACTCGCGTCTGTAGTAACAACAAATGACAATGATGGATCGACAACTTTGAGGACAGGGTACTCCATCAAAGCCTTTATCAATTTCTTGAAGGTTGACGTACAATCCTGATCCCACTTCCAGATAGCTTCTTTCTTCAATAGTCTACGAAGGGGAGCAGCTATCGTAGAGAAGTTCCTCACAAACTTTCTGTACTAGTTAGCCAGTCCTATGAAAGAACGTAACTCTCTTAGCGTCTTAGGAGTTGGCCAATCTCTGATGGACGCGATCTTGCTGTCCTCAGGCTGAATGCCATCGCGTCTAGTACATTGCAACGACTTGCTGATTTCTGCTGTCGAGATTGACTGCGAGGCTGTACACTAACCGGTAGGTTAGATTCGTAATTTCATTTGGCTGAGGGCTAACCGAGAGAGCTGCCTGTAAGGAAATTTGTGAGGGACAAATCTGCAAATTCGGGAAAATACAGGCCCGGTACTAACCGAATTCCTAAAGTTAACCTAATTGCATCGCAGGCCCGGGCTACCCTTAGGACAGACAGACCCTTAGCGGCCTATACTGCTAGACGGTCTTATAGCCTATAGCCGGGTCCGGTAGAGGCCGAGAGGCCGAAACAGCAACGATACCGGTCGGTCAGTCAGTCCGGTCTAGGTCTAGAAAGTCTATAGATAGGTTAGGCCCATCGATTCAGGGTTTTGGCATTTCATTTTCGCGTCACCGCGTTCGTGGCCAAGGGAGTTTTGCAGTGCTAAACGTTTACAGCGGCATCTGAGACTTCAGCTGAGTGAGGCAGCCATAGCCGGCTGAGTGAGACGGCCATAGCTGGGACCAGTCTCAACGCATCTGCCCTCTGGGGGTATCTGCGTCAGGGGGTACTTGTGGGTGCTGCTGCCATGGTAGCAGCTCGGCAGCCATAGCTGCCTCCTTCTTCGTCAGAGTGACTCATCGACACTGAGGACTACATCGCAGTTCATGATTTTCATCTTGGTGGATGGCGACTACCTCTGGCAGGGTGTTTCAGTGGGCGCTGGACTCTGAGAGTAGAGTAGTGGGTGGAGTGTGTGGTACTGAGGTGGCGAGACACTGGGTTGAACTCTGTAACGATAATTGGGGTTAATTGCGTTGAGTTGGCTCATCATCAGTGTTATATTTCGATTGTGATCTTCGCAGTGCCATCTTGTGATTGGTTGTTGGGAGTTTGTCAGAGAGAGAGAAACACTGTGTGTATTCTCCCCATCTGTGCATGGTTGCTATTCCGCTGCTTATCTCTAGTCTGTGTACAGTTTGGACTCTGTCTCTCCTCCCCTTTGTCTTGTGCATGTATGGGCATGTATGAGATACCTTATGTGTGAGTGGCGAGAAAATTGTCAAACAACCATAACAGTTGGTATCGGAGCGAAGATTGGGTTTGGAGCACTGAGGGTTGAGCGCAATAGAGGCACCTGCTCCTTCTGGCTCTATTTGGCGAGAAGCTCCATGTTGAAGTTTCATCTTCAGTGAAGATACAGAGAGGGGAGCAAGTATACAAGCGGTGAATTCAGGGGTTTAGTGTGCGATTGATTAGGCGCCCTGAGCCTGCCTGTGTGCCTGACAAGATTTGGCGAGAACAGGGGTATTTCGCCATCCACCCTCCTGAGCCCAGTTGATGAGTGAGTCAAGGGTGGCAAATTACACCCTAATCTAGTGATACCTGGGTGGCGGCATCAAACCCAGTATAGCGTTGAGGGAGAATTGATCACAGGATCAGTTTCCTGCTGG